TACACTCTCCCTTCAAGGATCATCTTACACATCTTTTTCCTCTCCTCTCTGTCATTACAGTGGCAAGATGCAATGTGAAGAGAAATGTTTTCTCACCTGGAGGACCATGAAACCCTGGAGGGCCTGGGGGCCCTGGAAATCCTGGAAGTCCTTGAGAATCACAGGACCTGGTAACTTCTGGAGAAGTGGCATCAGCCGTGACTGATAGAACAGACAAAGCTAAAATCCAGACATCTAGAGCAGGGGATCAAAAGGATAAATATTCACATAAGTTGAAAGATGGGGCTGCTTCTCTTGGAAGGTTATGTTCCCAACACTGTCTTGGCAGCCAGGTCTCCCAACCTCAAAAAATAACTGTGAACTTGGTCATAAAGAGAGACTTCCCCCACTTTCCTTCTTTTTTTATTTATTTTTTAATTTGTTACTATATTGCTTCTGTTTTATGTCTTGGTTTTTAGCTGAGAGGCATGTGGGATCTTTGCTCCCCTAGTAGGGATTGAAACCCCAACCCCTGCACTAGAAGAAGTTTTAACCACTGGACTGCCAAGGAAATCCGACGCCCCCCCCACCACTTAATGGGGTACAATCAGGGCCAAAGATAATCTGTAGTTTCCTTGTATTTGCTGTTAATATTCTTACTGAAATGTGAACTTCTGATGACCTAGAGGTTTTCTCTAGGACACCCAAACATCCTGTGTCTTTCCGTCCCCCGTCTCTTTAAGTAAATAGTCTTGTGGTATTATCCTTATGACGGCTAGACACCTGCAGCCCTGAAGTCTGGTGTTTCCTCAAAAACAAGTCGACTGGGGGCTTCATTTATTGATTCTACACTGCTTACTAAATGTTTCCCTTGTATCTGCATGGTAAACTTCTTTTCATCCTTGAAAAACAGTTAGGGTTCAGGACAGGGGGACATATGTATACCTATGGCTGATTCATGTTGATGTATGACAGCAACCAACAAAATACAGTGAAGCAATTATCCTCCAATTAAAAATAAATAAATTAAAAAAAAACAATTCAGAGTTCACTCATCTTGGGATATCCTCCATGATTTCCTCAAAGGGAACTAATTGTTGTATTTTAAATTTGAAGTTCATACATTTCACAGTCCATAAATGTCTTTCCACACCACCCCTCCTACTAACTTACACTCTCCCTTCAAGGATCATCTTACACATCCTTTTTCCTCTCCTCTCTGTCATTACAGTGGCAGAATCCAGTGTTTACTTTATTATTTTTTTTTTCAGTGTTTACTTTGATTGTAGCATTTGCTTACCCTGAATAGTCCTCTCTCCCATTAAGTACCTGTTTTGTTTCCTTAAATAGATGATGAGCCAGTGCCCTACCTAAACTTGTTCCTAAAACACGATCATATAATATCCAAGGTCCAGTTGATAAGCATAGTATATTTCTGGAAGCAGTGATTGAATAAATAATTGCTTGAATTGCCCTTTCAATTCGTTTCATAGGTATGATGTTTTTATTATCACAAACGCTAAGTAAGGAGTACTCAGGGAAGATGCTGACACAGGGAACTCTAGGAACTGTAGCATTCCAGAGATAAAAAGGGATATTAGAGAAATATTTCCCTGGCTGGACTGTGCACAAGAGTCAGCTGTGGAACCTGTGAATAGTAGTGTCTTAGTTAATAATACGTGACCATCTGAATTGGAATTTCAAGGGGATGAAACCTGGAACCTGAATATTAACCAATGTCCACAGATGATTTAAAGGCAGTCAGGTTAAGGAACCAATGATGCTGGATCACTCTGGTGAATAATTTCCAGTGAGACTGAGATGGCAAAGTAAGTTCTCAGAATTGAGGAGAAAGTGCATAATGCCTTATTCTCAGTTGTTTTCTACAATACCATTTTGCCCTTGAGTTTGCAGGAAACTCAGCAGTATTCCAGTGTGAATCAAGGGTGAACACAGAATAATTATGGGCTTCCCTGGTAGCGCAGCTGGTAAAGAATTCGCCTGTAATTCAGAAGACCCCAGTTCGATTCCTGCGTTGGGAAGTTCCCAGGGAGAAGGGGTAGGCTACCCACTCCAGTATTATTGGGCTTCCCTGGTGGCTCAGATGGTAAAGAATCTGCCTGAAATGTGGGAGACCTGGGTTCGATCCCTGGGTTGGGAAGATCCCCTGGAGGAGGGCATGACAACCCACTCTAGTATTCTTGCCTGGAGAATCCCCATGGACAGAGGAGCCTGGTGGGCTACAGTCCACGAGGTTGCAAAGAGTTGGACACGACTGAGCAACTGAAGAACAACCACGAAGGAGGTGGTTATGGCATGAATCCTGGAGGGAGTCAAAGACATAGAGGGAGCCATGACGAGGGACATAAAGTGGATCACAGACAAGGCCACCAAGGAAAACTAAGAGGAAGGGGGAGTGTGGACATAGACTGGATATGAGGGANCAATCAGGGCCAAAGATAATCTGTAGTTTCCTTGTATTTGCTGTTAATATTCTTACTGAAATGTGAACTTCTGATGACCTAGAGGTTTTCTCTAGGACACCCAAACATCCTGTGTCTTTCCGTCCCCCGTCTCTTTAAGTAAATAGTCTTGTGGTATTATCCTTATGACGGCTAGACATCTGCAGCCCTGAAGTCTGGTGTTTCCTCAAAAACAAGTCGACTGGGGGCTTCATTTATTGATTCTACACTGCTTACTAAATGTTTCCCTTGTATCTGCATGGTAAACTTCTTTTCATCCTTGAAAAATAGTTAGGGTTCAGGACAGGGGGACATATGTATACCTATGGCTGATTCATGTTGATGTATGACAGCAACCAACAAAATACAGTGAAGCAATTATCCTCCAATTAAAAATAAATAAATTAAAAAAAAACAATTCAGAGTTCACTCATCTTGGGATATCCTCCATGATTTCCTCAAAGGGAACTAATTGTTGTATTTTAAAATGCACAGAAAGAGAAGCTGTCAAGTGAACAAGTGATGTTGAACAAATTCATGCCAAACAGTGGAATAACTTTCAATTATTTGGGGATCCAAAGACCTTTGCTTGATCCTGAAGTATTGAAACACAAGATGGTCTTTGGAAATGATGTTGTTGTGTGGTTTTTTTTTTTTAATCAGTAAAAAAGTATCACGTTTCATTTTATAATGGTATATAGGGTTATGTAAAATATATTCCAGGCCTAAGTGACAAAAAAAATTGGTAAATAGATAGTATATCATAGCAAAATAAAAATCAGAGCTTGAGAAATTTAGTTTCTCTGAATATCTCTTTCCAAATTGTGACATAGAGATAATGAGGGTTGTGGTGAGAATCAGTAACAAATAAAGCATCTAATGCATTGTTGGCTATAGAAAAAATGCTCAACCAGGAACTGAAAATATACAAACATGTAGGACTTTCCTTGAATGACACCCCTTTACCTGCCTTAATTAAGCAGTGGTATTACAGCATAGACATGAGAAGAAAAGCCAGATAGGTGCCTCTGTTTATGGGTTAGCATATGTACAAACAAAAATTATCCTAGAAAACTGAAATCCATCTCATCAATGAAACACTGATAAAGTAACTTTTGTTGAGTAGACACGTCCAAGTGTTAACATTTCAACAGGCAAAAATACACTAAAAAAAAAGAAAAACCAGCTCTTTGTTGAGATATAGTTTGTATACCATGAATCTCTTTCATTTTAAGTGCAAAATTTAATGATTTTAAACAAATTCCCACAGTTGTGTAACCACCACCACCATCCAATTTTAGAAGATCCCCATCATCCTCAAAAGACCCCATGTGCCCATTTGCAATCAACCCCCCATTTCTACTTCTAGCTCCAGGCAACTCTACTTCCTTCCAAAGGCAAGCAAACCATCATCAATTTTCTGCAGCAAAGCTGACCTTCATTTATGGTTTTTTTGAAGCTTCGAGTGAAGAGAAGTCATGAAGAGAAGAATTACCCTCATTTTTTAACGTGTTTTCCAAAGTCACTCAGAGAGAGAGGGGAATGTAAGTCCTAGTCTGTTTTGTGAAATGTGTCCCAGGTCACCTTGTGTTCTCTGCTTAATATTCAGAACGGTGCAGTAAATAGCACCTTCCTCGTTAAGCGGTTTTGAGGCTTAAAGAAAACGAGGTATGAAAAGGGTCTCACACCATATACGGACGCTACGGTGTGGCTCCTGAGTATGTGATACTTCCCTCCCATCTTCTGACATTCCTGTGAGCATACTATGCTGATTTCCCAACAAAGGAAGGTGACCCCTCAAAGTGGTGATGGGTACTAACGTGATAACCCAGAGCATCCATAAGAGATGGATCCATTCTAAGATGGACATACAAAAATTGTCTATGGTGTCTAGACACATGTCTTTCACGTCCTTAATCTCCTTTTCATGACAACTTGTGAAATGGGGAAGAGGTTGATATTTATCACTGTAGAGAAGGGAAACAGAAACACGCATTCCACAGTCAAACACATGAAATTTTTGCATTCTCTCTCCTTCTGTTTTCTTTATATCATAAGTCCCTTGTGCTAATTTGCTATTAATTAGGGCTATTTACAAATTGATAGCATAAGCTTCAGTCCAAATATAAGGGGGGTGGAAATGGAAGTTTCCACTTGTATTTGCTGTATCTGATTGGAAATGCTGAAATGAAATCTATCCTTTTGCCTGTGTTGTGGGAAAATTGTATCTCAGAATTATTATGATCATAAAATGAATCACAAGTGTTGGCAGGAGAGAGTCCTTTGGATGGTTCTTTGTAACAACATATGGAATCTAGTTCTCTATCAGTCAGTAGTGATTACACTTACCTGCACACACCATGAAGAGAGACTGTCCTCCTCTCCCAGGCATCCTGATGCAAAGGTGGAAGTTGTTGTAAGGGGTATGTCTTCAGCTGCTCTGTTCCTCTTTCACTTGCTTGCCTGTCAAAGGCATGAGGAAGATGTCCTAATAAATCAATATTCTTTAATATTTAATTTTTTACTGTCTGAGGCTAATGACCTCTGTTGGTTTTTTTTTTAATTCCATTCNTCCCGCCGCCAGCCAATCTGCCCGGTCACCTGGCTGGTGATCTGAGACTGCTCTTCTTTTGTCTGATGCTGGCTCTTGATGCCTTGCTGGGTGATGAAGGTTTTCAGTGCACCTGTCTCCGAGTTCTGTGGGTAGCCAAAGTCTAGGATCTCTGCAAAAGGAAGGGATTCATCAACTCCTAGAAAAAGCTGAAGGCTCCTACTTCCCATCCCTCCCCTGGCCTGGAAACATCTGGCCAGCATAGCTCTAAAAAACATTGTAGCATCATCTACAGCAAGATTTTTCTAGCTTTGTAGCATTTACTCTAGAATTTATGCTTTTTAAGAAAACAGTTAAAACATCACATTTTTTCCAAATAGAAAAAAAATCAGAAGTCACATGCCCAGTGGGTAAGAAGTCCAGAAGCCCCAAGCCCTTAAAATACAGACAGCTGATGTGGGAAGGTGGAAGGACTCAGTTCACTTAAATCATACCCTACAGAGGTAACAACGCATCCAGAGGAACCCGTAATATCACATCCTCATCCAGGCTCTGAGGCAGCTCTTGAGATGGAAAGCTGGTAGGACAGTCAGTGTAGCAAGGCCCAAACCACAAGGTTAAGAGGATGAAATGTGCTTAACTGAACAGCAGGACGACCAGCCACCAAAAGACCTTTCGGTCTTCCTCCACCTCTACTCGCTAGCCTATTTCTGTATTTATTTCAGATCAGTCTTTAGGTCTGGATTTGGACTGTCCTCCTCCCGGTTCAAAAGACCATATAAAGAAAGTAAGTTTAGAGGATACTGGAGTGAGCCTCAGACCTACTCCCACCTCCAGGTCAGGCCCCACCAGGCTTATCCCCACCCTGGACCCACTGCCCCACCAGCCTCACCATCCAGCAGCTCATATATGAGCACAAAATTGTTCTTGATGTTCTCTTCACTGATCTTGCCAAAGTAGGCAGCCATTACGTCACACATCTTATAGAGGAATTCGAAGACCATGGCAGCATTGACATTCTGCTTGGTGACAGCTGCCAGCCAGATGTTGGACCGTTTAACATGGAAGAAACTGGTGCGAGCGATGTTGGTGACGGGGCTGCGCACCTGCTGCCGGGCGTGGATAACATTGACCCGAAAGGCGTCCACTGCATTCCCCGCGATGTCATCTCGGTAGACCCGGGAGATGAGCACCTCCCCCTTGTGATTATAGATGAATAAGCCTCCAGTCACGGCGGCAGCTCAGTCTTCGCAGCCCATCGCTCTGAGAAGAGACCTGGTGTCCGCGGCCCTCTGCTCGGCCGGCCCGGCCACTCTCCGGATCCCAAGATGTCCGCCCGCCCCCTCCCTCTGTTGGTTTTTAACCAGGGTGAAGTTGTGCCAGCTGATGTTCAGACAGAAGCTCTATGTGTTATTTGTACCCTCTTTCTTCTTTTACTAATTTCTGGAATAATTGAGAATTTTAAAATTTTTATTGATTGATTTATTTAGGTGTTAATCCTTTTGTATTTTCCATACACATATGCATATAACTTTTCTATTTATTTTTGCTTTTTTCAAATTTCTATTGTTTGTGTATAGTATTGCATATACATATGGATGTCCTGTTGGAGAAGGAAATGGCAACCCACTCCAGTATTCTTGCCTGCAGAATCCTATGGACAAAGGAGCCTGTGGGCTACAGGCTATGGGGTCACAAGAGTCGGACACAACTTAGCAACTAAACCACCACCACCACCCTGGATATCCTATAGTTAATGTAACTATTTCCTGTTGAAGAGCACGTACACTGGTTATAGTGGCTCTTTAAATTTTTACTTAATTTTAATCGAATGAAAGATTCTCTAGATTCTATAGTGCTTTACATTTTCAAAAGTTTCACACACATGATTTCGTATAATTCCATAATAACCCTTCCCTTTTTCTTAACCCCCTTCCCTCTCTCCACTGGTAACCACTAGTTTGTTGTCTGTATCTGTGAGTTTGCTTCTTTTTTTAAACCACTAGTTTGTTGTGTTTTTTAGATTCCACATACAAGTGATATCATACAGCATTTGTCTTTCTCTGTAATGCCCTCCAAGTCTCTCCATGTTGCTGCAAATGACAAAATTTCATTCTCTTTTATGGTTGGGTAGTATTCCTTATACAAATTATATATATATATATATTATATATATTATATATATATATAAACATTTTCTTTATCCCCACTATTGGGCTATTATCTATACCTTTGGTTTTATTGTGTTTTTTTCTAGTATGATTTTTGTAACATTTAGAGTATATAGTTTCAACTTATCACAGGCTGACTCCTCATATGTGTATCCATGAAATTTCATTTCCCAAAGATCAGGAAAATACCTTTGCCCTCACTCTTTTTCAACATAGTACTAGACATTGTAGCCATTGTAATAAACAGTTAAAGGAGATAAAATGCATGCCCATCAGGAAACAAAAGAAATAAACCTGCCCCAATTGTCTTTGTTAAAATTTCAAGGACTCTACAAAAGAAACTCCTAGCACTAATTAATGAGTTAGACAAGGTTAAAGGAGAGAAGGTCAGCACACACACAAAAATTGATCATATTTCTGTTTACCACCAGTGAACTCATTGCAAATAGAATGAAAAACACAATACTATGTATTATAGCTCTGAAGAAATGAAGTACTTGTGTAAAAGTCTAAAAAGACATGTACAGGATATGTATGCTAAAAGCTACAACCAGCAATCCACTCCTGGGTATTTATCCTAGAGAAATGAAAATATATATTTCTGTAAAAACCTGTGCATAAATGTTTCAAATAGTTTTATTTGTTACAGCCCCAAACTGGAAACAAACCAGGGAGTCACTGTTCATGAATGGATGAACAAGCTGTGGTACATAACATAAAGAATACTAGTGAACAACAATGTCTTTTGAGGGGAAGGAAATGGTGAGGACTTCATCATATGGATGGATTCATTCCTTTGGAGGATGGAAAGAACCTATGTGACATATTACCTCATTGGTGCTGACAAGAAAATTCCAAACTGGTTGATTAAGATTACATTTTGAAGAAAGATCAAAACTACAATTAGGTTAGGTTTTAAATCTAAGTTTGGTATCATGAGCTTTAGTACAAGTGATACCATTTTGGATCTGTGATTCTTCTGTTAAATGGATCTTATGTTCATTATACTGAGTCCCAATCACAAAGTCACCCTAATATCCATCAGCAGAAGAGTAAATAGATAAATGGTGCCATATCTGTAATGGAAGACTACATTTCCATTCAATGAGATGTTTCATTTCTGTTACCACAGTGTTGAAGGATTTCACAGACATTATGATGAGTGAAAAAACACTAGATGCAAAAGATTTTATATTGGATTATATCATTCATACAAAGTACAGGTATAGGCAAAGATGACAGCTTCCCAGGTGGTTCAGTGATAAAGAATCCATCTGCCAATACAGTAGATGCAGGAGATGCGGGTTCCCTCCTTGGGTTGAGAAGATCCCCTGGAGGAGGAAATGGCAACCCACTCCAGTATTCTTGCCAGGACAATCCCATGGACAGAGGAGCTTAGAAGTCTACTGTCAATGGGGTCACAAAGAGTTGGACATGTCTGAGCAACTGAGAGTGAGCATCAGTTCAGTTCAGTTGCCTAGTCATGTCCAACTCTTTGCAACCCCATGGGCTGCAGCACGCCAGGCCTCCCTGTCCATTACCAACTCCCAGAGCTTGCTCAAACTCTGGGATGCCACTCAGCCATCTCATTCTCTGTTGTCCCCTTCTCCTCCTGCACTGCTGAGCATGAGCATAGGCAAAGACTATTGATAAATGATGCTGACAGTCAGAAAAATAAATTCAATGATGCAGGTGTGATTGTGGATGGGAAGGGCACCAAGGAGACTTCTGGGATGACAGAAATGTTCTATGTATCAATCTGAATGATGGGTCCATGTTTGTATGCATATAAAATTAATTAAACAATAGATTTGTGTTTTACCGTATTTAAGTTATATTTCAATAATAAAAAGAAACCCATCAATATTCTCTTATTTTAAAAATATTAATTAAAAATATTAATTTATGTATTTGGCACTGGGTCTTAGTTGTGGCATATGAAATCATTAGTTGCAGCATATGGGATCTAGTTTCCTGAACAGGATTTGAATACAGTCCCCCTTTATTGGAAGTGCAGAGTCTCAGCCACTGGACCACCAGGAAAGTCCCCAATATTCTTTTAAAAGTCTAGTCATCAGTAGTATAAAGTTGACTTATGTCAGTGTACAAAAAACATTGTTACTTTTACCCTCCTGCTTAACCATGGATTATGTGGCTTTGATTTAATGCCTGCAAGATGGTTGTTGCAGCTGTAAGCACTGCATCTTCATTCCTTAGAGAAGAAAAGGAGAAAGCAAAGAGCAGAGATCAAACGCCAAGAACATAAGCCAGTTGAGTCATTTCCCTTTTAAATATGACTCCTGTAAGTACCATGCACTTACATCTCACCAGGAAGGATAGTGTTTTTCGTGGCCACCCTGAATGCAATAGCGGCTGGTCAAATTACTTTTTTCTTTTTTTAAATGGGTTCATTGAGGCAATGCGAACAAAATTAGCTGTAATAGAAACTTGTAGAAGGGATACTGGGTAAGTAAGTAGCAGCTTCAAGTAAATTAATTATTAATCTGAAAACTATGAAGCCACAGAATTTCCCTCACTTCCATCTTTGACCCTCTGCCTTATGTACTATCACTCATCCAATTATCTCTTGGGTAAACCTTTGATGGAAAGCATCTTCATTTGGTATTTTAAGCAAACTTGCTATCTCTGCCAGAGATATTTACTTCTATATTTACATCCTTAATTCCCAAAAGAGATTTGAGACTTTGAGTGAGGTTTTTTGTCCCCTGGGGGTGAGGTGGGGTGTTGTTGAGTCCTTAAGTCATGATCTAATTCTGTGATACCAAGCATTGTAGCCCATCAGGCTCTTCTGTCCATGGGATTTCCCAGGCAAGAATACTGGAGTGGGTCGCCATTTCCTTCTCCAGGGGATCTTCCTGACCCAGGGAATGAACCCACCTTTCCTGCATTGGCAGGCGGATCCTTTACCTACCGCTGAGCCACCTGGGCGGCGGGGTGGGAGCAAGCAAAACAGGAGCTGAACGGGGGTTTTCCTGGCGTGTTTAACAGCAACCTGGCTGGGCAGCCTCCTACCTGACTTCGTTTTTTCACCCACTTATTGCCACCCAGGATCTTGAAATTTGGGAATCACAAGAAATTATTGATAAATTGATGAGCCATGCATCTTTATTGGTTTCAGCAATTGGTAATACCTTCATTTTGTCCAAGTTTGCCATTACTGTTTTAGTGATTTGTTTATCATTTAGCAGTTCTAAATGAAATATTTGGGATGCAGGAAGCTTCTTTTCTTAAATTCAGAGTTACTTGAGGGAGAGAACTGTGCAGTTACCCCTAGCCGTCTTAATTTCCATTGAGCAAAAACCCATAAAACACAGTGTGAGTAGTTCCTTTTTCAGATTCTTCTTTGTCCAGCTTAGACTCCAGCCAGACCCTATCACCTTTCTCCAGCTCCAAGATGGAACTTCCAGAAGCCTGCTCGTGGCTATCCCCAGCTTCTGCTTGCTTGTCCCGGATCTGGGTGCCATTCAGCATGAGACCCACTTTGACAGCACTCTGAAACAACTCAATGTCAAACCCAAATTGGTACATGCCAGGGGCGCTGCAGGTGAACACGCCAGTGGGCAGGGTTGAAGTGACCCTGATGGTTGTACAGAACTTCCTGGAAGACAATGGGCTGGGAGGGTCCTGGGAAAGGCCCACTCCGCTTGACGGAAAAGGCAGACTGAGGTAGGAGTGGGCACTTCTCAACTAGTCCAGGAAGCCCAGGTCTCCCTCTTGGGCCTGGTCCCTCTTGGCATGCCTATGGGTCCTAGATTCCAAAATAAACAGAAAATAGAACGACACCATTTAAGGTTTTATATTTTGCATAGTAAGTGAATTACTTCTTCCTTCCTATGCCTCTTGCCCTTCCAGCCACGTCCTTTCACTGGTCAGAGCCTAGCTCAAGCATCACTGCTTCCAGAAGGCTCGCCTGTCTCCTCTAGATTTGGAAAAGTTCTGTCTCTTTGTACCACATCTGGTATTAACTGTTCCCATAGTTATAAAGAATTACCACAAAGAATTATAATCCTTCCCTTAAGTGATGGCCTCATCCAAACCAGGAACAAGAGTCATACTTAATTTCCTTCCTAAATGTCATACTCAGCATTATCTATAAAATTAGCACTCAAAATACGTTCAATAAGTGAGTACTTGAATGAATAAGTATATGAATGGATCTTTAG